AGCAGAAAGTGGGCATGCATGGACAGCAAGGTGTAATAAAGGTGATTTTTTCTTCCCCCCCCTCCCCCTGCCTGAAAACTGTGCTGAATATTAAGAGTCAATAGATGAGAGGGTTGGTTTCCAGTATTGGAGCAAAATGTGGGTTTTTTCAGGTAAAATTTAAATGATGGTTCTGTAGGGGCTTCTTTGAACACTTTATGGATAATGAAAGGCAATTATACTGGGGGGAAAAAAAAAAGTTTTTAATAATTAGTATAGAAATAAGCAAAGATTTGAGTGCTCCACTCAACAAGGGTGGTACATCCCAGCCCGGGGAGATGTTTTGGTGACATTTCAAAGCCATATTTACGTTAGAGGACAGTTGGGCATTACCTAAACGATGCTCATACCAATTAAAACATCGTATCAGTTTTCTTAATGGAAAATAAAATTGCAAGGAAATGTTGTTATACTGTTGCCTGAGGTTGTCAGTGGAATTTCAGGGATTTAGCTACCTTAGTCTCCTTGAAAAATTACAGAACTCCCATTTTTAGTTGGAGTTTTGTGCTTTGTACTTTAGGGGTTTTATAGCAATGTGGGGTGAAATGTAGGGTTTTTTTTGGGATCAATGTTGTAAATCACAAAATGTCCTTCAATTTCCTATTGTAAACTGAAGATTTGTTTTGGTTTTGGTTTTGTTTTTTTTTTTAGTATGACAGATAATAAGGCACAAAACCTGAAATCAGTATGATAAGGCCACACGAGTTAGACCTTCTCGCTGGGGATCTTGAGACTTTTCTATACCACTGGAAGCAATCTCTTGTTTCCTGTCATGAACAGTAGCCAAAGAGGATTTAAAAAAACGAAAAACCAACAAAAGAACGTTTTCCAAAAGCCAAATGACATGCTGGGAAAGGAGTGGATGTGTTTCAAAAGCACTGAATGTGCCTGAAGGCATCAATATGATATAAGTACTGTGTAATAATATAAATTATATAATATTGTTAATATAATATATTAATAAGATATAAGTACTGT